TCTACTCTGGTGTGTTTGCCGGAGCACATATCCTGGCCCAAACTGCCTTGTCTATTTATTGTCTTACACACTTGGAGCCTCTTCCCCGGAAAGCAGACCTCAAAGAAGAAGCTTCTCTGTTGTTTTCCCTTTGCATTGCATTGTGTCATCCCTAGGACCTAGATAATGCCAGCCTGTTGTGAACGCTCAGCAAATGTTTGTCGAATGAATGTGTGTATTGAGTTTACTATAATCATGTACCTTAGGTGGTTCTGAAGACGTTGTGTTCCCATTTATTATATTAAAAGCAACACTGATTTTGCTTTAAAATAAGACAGGTCAAGAATTTAAAAAAAAATTAGAGGTAGAAACGATTTTGTGTTACTAGGAAGTAGTTCTCCATTAACTATCATTTGACCCAGAAGTGTTAAACGTCGGTATCACTGGAATGGATGAATTTAAGCTCTTATTGTTACTTCATTTCCCTTGGTAGATTTTAGTCATATTTTCTGTTTGCGAAGGCACTAGTGTCTTCTCAACCCTATAGTGAAAAAAAAGTACAAGTTTGTAAAGAAGGCATAAATTTAGAGACATATCATGGTGCATTGGAAAAATCAACACAATGGAGATACCTTCTCCCTGTGTTGATTTATAGGTTTAAAACAGGTCAGATCAAATCCTGAACAAAAAGAGCAATGCTGGAGGCATCACAATACCCAATTTCAGATACACTATATAGAAGCCAGGTATGGTTGTGCATGCCTGTAATCCCAGCACTCAGGAGGCGAAGGCAGGAAAATTGTCATGAGTTTGAGGCTAACCTGTAGTACAGAGTGAGTTCAAGGCCAACCTGAATCACACGGTGAGACCTTGTCTCAAAAAAAAATTCATATATATATTGGGGGAGGTGAGCATGTGAACAAGTGCCTCTGTAATAAATACAGCACAGTGGGGGGAAGCTGGATGTCCACATGGAGAAAATCCTATCTTGTCCTATACCAAAATGAACTCCAAATGAATCTAAGGCCTAACTATAAGACCTCAAACTTAAAAAAAAAACCAAAAAACCAAAACCTCAAACTTTAAAACTACTACAAAAAACAGGGGAGACACTTGAAGATACAGACACAGGCAGTGACTTCCTGAATAGACTCCAAAAGCTCAAGAAACTATACCAAGAATGGACAAATGGGACTACTTCAAATTAAAAAGCTTCTGTACGGCAAAGAAAACAACAGAGTGAAGAGACCACCTATAGAATGGGAGAGAATCTCTGCCAGCTGTTGTTCTAACAGAGAGCTCATATCTTGAATATATAAAGAACTCAAAAAATGTTAACACCAAAAGAATCCAGTCACTAAATGAACGACTCAGCAGAACAGGCACTTCTCAGATGTACAAGTGGCCAGTAGGCAGAAGTGTTCACTATCTTGAGCCATCGGGAGTGCAAATCAAAACTACACGGAGATTCCATCTCAGTCAAAATGGCTGTCAAGAATATAAAATATACATACAGATACCTGTATACCCGTATTTACTGAGGTGCTGTTCACAATAGCTAAGTTATGAAATCAGCCTAGATGGATAAAGAAAATATGTGTATACACAAGAGTATTATTCAGCCATAAAGAATGAAATCATGCTATTTGCAGGAAAATGAATAGGACTGGAGATCATCATGTTAAGTGAAATAAGCCAGACTCGGAAAGACAAGTATTGGGAATTTTCTCCCATGTGTAGAATGTAAAGGGGGAAAAAAGATGACACTAAAATAGAAGAGAAACTAGTAAAGAAAAGGGTGTAAGGAGGAGAGGAAAAGGTGAGGGAGAGGAGGAAATGATAAAAATGTTATATGCATGTATGAAACTTACATGAAACCCATTATTCTGTAAATTAATAAGCACTAATAAAAATTAAACAACTGTCCCTATCAAAACTCCAACAGATTTGTTTTGTAGCTATAGACACACTGATTGTAAAATTTATACGAAAACTTGGGAGGCAGGAGGATCATTGGGAGTTTGAGACCACCTTGGGCTACAAAGTGAGCTCAAAGCTACCTAAACTACATAGCGAGACCCTGTCTCAAAAAGACAAAAAATATATATATTATATGGGAAGATGAACGAAATAGCTAAAACAATTCTGAAAAGTTGTTAGAGTTAGAAAACGATTTAGTTACAAGAATCCCACTAGCTGATTTGAAGCCTTACTATAAAGCTACAGTAATAAAGCTAGGTAATAAAGTGTGGTTTTGGTGGTAAAATAGACACACAGATGAGTAGACCAGGATAATCATGAATAGAACCCCACAGTATGCCCAGTGAATTTTTGACAAAGGTACAGTGATAATTCAGTGGAGAAAAGCTAATTTTTCAACATGATATTGGAACAATCTATATGTAAGAAAAAGTTGACCTAAATCTTGTCTTAGGCAGAAATTAATTTAGAATGGATCACAGATTTAAGTGTAAAATGTAAAGCTATATGTACAGCTTGCACAAGAAAACAGGTCTGTGTGACCTTGGGCTGGGCAGAGCTCTTAGATAAGACTCCAAAATCCTGAAAGATGTGAGGAAAAAATGGGCAAAAGAAATGTCAACAAAAACTACAAATTTTGCTGAGCAAAAGACACTGTGAAGTGAGTGAAATCACCCACACCCACGCTTGGTTTTTTGAGACAGTCTTACTGTGGCCCTGGCTGGCCTCAAACTCAGGACCCTACCCCGACCTCCTGAGTGCCAGCATCACAAACATGTGCCACCCTGCTTGGCAAAGTGAGTGAAATGGTAAGCTACAGTCTGGGAAAACTGCTTACAAGCCATCGGACAAAGGACTTATCCAGAACATGTAAAGAACTCTCAGAACCCAAGAGTTAAGAAGACAACCCAGTTAAAAAGGGGGTATAAGATTTAGACACACACTGAAGAGGATCTGTGGGTGGCAAATAAGAACATGAAAAGGTGGTTATCACCATTAACTGTTAGGGAAGTGCAACTTAAAGCCATGAGTTTCTGTGGCTGCTTAGAATGTCTGAAGTAAAACACAGACAATACTACATGGTGGCAAGGATGCAAGCAGCTGTAACTCTTGTGCATTGCAGGTGGTTCTGCCTTTCTGGAAGAGTTTGGCAGTTTCTTATAAATACACCTTTACCGTGTATGACTCAGCAATCTCACTTCTAAGTATTTACGCTGGAGAAATGAAAAGTGCCATTTAGTCACCTGAATGTTATAGCAGCTCTCTTAATAAGTACTAGAAACTGGAAACAGTCCGATGTCCTTGCATGGATGAATGGGTAAACAGACTGGGACATCCACTCCAGGCAGAAGGGGAACTGCCCAATAAAGAGGAACAGGCTTTTGATGTTCGCAAGCAACTCAAGGGCATAATGCTGAGTCAGAGAAGCCAGCCTCTAAAAGTTGTGTCCTGCCCAGTTTCATTTGTATGCCTTTCTTGAACAGACAACAGTTATGGAGACCAGGCCAGTGGTTGCCAGGAGTTAGGGGATGATTCTAAAGAGGTATGATGTGGGAGTGTTTTGGAGTGGTGGGGCCCCTCTGTGTCCTCAGTGTAGCAGTAGTTATAGAGACCTCTATGTGTGTTGTCAGGATTTGGACACCGAGAAAAGTGTAGGCAAGTTTTAAATTTACTACTTGTTAATTTAAAAATAACACAGACTCTCACATCCTGCAGAAGTTGCTCCGTGGAGCTAAGAACAGAACTCAAGTGCTAAAATAGATAAATGCAGCATACAAGCAATTAAAATAGAAAAAAGTCTATAAAGTGGCTCCCTGTCAGTATGTAGATAAACAGAAGATGAAATTTACCACAAAAGCTAGCCACAGGCTATTTACATACCTGATTACAAAAGCCTGCTAGAGTGGGTCTCACTTTGTTTTTGAAGGTCATTACCAGTAACATGTAAGAAATTACACCCACTGGTCATCTTTATTTAATGTTTCAATACAGTTTTCATCCAGATTTTAGTGATCTCCTTGAAATTGAACTTTGATCCTCCCAGTTATCATAGTTTGGTTGGGTTCCACAGGGTGGGTGGCCCCAGGAGTACCTTTGTGAAGGAGGCACAGTGCTCAAGTGGGGCCAGGTTTGCAGAGAGGCTCTCAGGGAAGGGCAGAGATCATGCCTGGCTCTACCTCTGGAGCCCCTTTCGGCTTAGAAAAGTACTGCGGCTCAGGTGCACCCCAAAGAGATTTAGGACTTTCAGAGTCTCTGGGCCTGGGCCAGGGCCTGGCCTGTGTGTAGAGCTCACCGTGACCTGCTGAGCAACCTGGTTGCAGATCCCAGGGGCACAGTGGGAGGAGATGAGGCAGGTACAAGTGGTGGCACGAGGGGACGGTGAGTATAGAAGGTGGTGACTTCTCACCTGGAGAGTCCCAGAGAACACAGAATTGCTAGACAAGAAGAAGCAGGTGTTGTGTGTGGAGGGAAACAGCAGAATGTGCCCAGAGCTGCAAGGTGAGGTCTTGGCCGAGAAGGGTGTGGCAGGGGGAGATGGAGAGCAACCCAGTGCCAAAGAGAGTGACTCAGAGCTTGTCAGTCCTAAGGCCAGTCCTAAGCACCTGTCTGAGAATCACGGGTGGAGAGCCGGTTACAATGTACCAGGTCAGACGTTCTCAAGGCGGAGCCTGCAGCCTGCAGTTGTCAGCTGTGCCCAAGAGAGCACTTTGCGTTGTGCGGCTAACCTCTGCAGGGAGCAGTGGGGCCACACAGAATTTCCTGCCAGGACTTGCTTTATTTATATGTGTGTTGGATTCATGTCATAAGACAGCTCCCTCCCGAAAACCCTGCACTTAGGAATGCTGCCCTCTTTTGGGATTCCTGGGACATCATGAAAACGGCAAGCCTTTCTGCCGGTGTCTGTTCACATAAGCATCATTGTTTTTCAGAAAGAAGCGGAGGCCGTGGGCCTGCTAGGTTTTTGCTGGAGAAGAAATCGAGGTGGGGTCTGCCCTGGGGAAGAAGGTAGAGGTTCACAGTTTCCTGGTGTCCTTTCCCAGGAGCAGCAGCCAAGCTGGACGGACGACCTGCCGCTCTGCCACCTCTCTGGGGTTGGCTCGGCCTCCAACCGCAGCTACTCTGCTGATGGCAAGGACAGCGAGAGCCACCCTCCAGAGGACAGCTGGCTCAAGTTCAGGTGTGCATGCCAGCATTGTTGTCCTGGACAGGGGACGTCAGTTCGCAAGCAAAGAAAGGCCCTGCGCTTGCCACTGTTGTGTGGGGCTTGCTGGGGAGACGTGGCCCAGGAGAGGTGGCAGCCCGTGGTGTGGCCACATCTGATTCAGTCCAGGACCTGCTGCAGGGTAGGGAAGGGCATCCTGGAAAGTCACGGACACAAGGAAACAATGGCTAAAGTGAGAGCACCCAGGTGGACACCTTAGCCTCCGCTGCTGTATCTTGTGTCTCCCTCAGTTCCTTCCCTTGTCTTCCCCTCATCTGGGAGCCCTGGCCTCAGACTTCTTTATGCCTCCTCTGCTAGGAGTGAGAATGGTTGTTTCCTCTATGGAGTCTTCAATGGCTACGATGGCAATCGGGTGACCAACTTTGTGGCTCAGCGGCTGTCCGCAGAGCTCCTGCTGGGCCAGCTCAATGCCGAGCACACAGAGGCCGATGTGCGGCGGGTGCTGCTGCAGGTAAGGGGCTTTGGCGGGCTGATCTGGACTTCCAGAACTCATGGCTATGACAGTGACCAAGGTTGGTCTGCAGACTGCTGGCTTCTTTACTCACCAGCAGCAGTTCCCCATCCCCAGGAGTCCAGGGCCACGCAGGGTTGGCTCTGGAAGAGGTACTGGGTGTGGCAGTGGTGTTTATGCCAGCCTCTGCCCTACCCTCTGTCACACCAGGCTTTTGACGTGGTGGAGAGGAGTTTCCTGGAGTCCATAGATGATGCCTTGGCCGAGAAGGCGAGCCTCCAGTCCCAGCTACCCGAGGTAATCACTCTGTCTGCCTCCGGGAAGACCTAAAGGTACAGCGGGCGGTGGTGAGGGGTCTGTCCTCAAGGGGCCTCTCTGGCCACTGTGGGCAGCTTCACCCAGGACTCGGCTTTGGGCAGGCAGGGACAGGTGGGAGGAGATACCTTTCCAGGACCTGTGGCCTGAGTCAGTCACAGTCTTGTCACCTACCTGTTCCCATCACCCACCGGCACTTTCAGGGCCCCCAGAGCTAGGTCGTCACTGGCTTTCCCAGGGGTGCAGCCAGCTGTCATCCTGACCTCACAGCACTCGCAGCCTTACTTCCAAGGGAGGGCTGGGGTTGCTGTTTTGGTCCCCAAGCACCACCCCACCCTGACCTCTCTGATGTGGGTTGCAGGGTGTCCCTCAGCATCAGCTACCTCCACAGTATCAGAAGATCCTGGAGAGACTCAAGGTGCTGGAGAGGGAGATCTCAGGAGGGGCCATGGCCGTCGTGGCAGTCCTTCTCAACAGCAAGCTCTACGTTGCCAATGTTGGTGAGCTGCCCACCACGGCCCAGGGAGGAAGGGCGGGTAGCTCGGTGTCAGTGTGCTTGCTGGCAGTCTGCTTTCTAGACCCCTCACACTTTATTTATTTTTGTTTGTTTGTTTTTGAGACAGGCTGTGTAGTTCAGCCTGGCCTTGAACTCACTATGTAGCCCAGGCTGGCCTCAAACTCATGGTGATCCTCCTGCCTCACCTCCCAAGCACTGGGATTATAGGTGCGCGCCAGCAGTCTGGCTACCTGGACACTTTAGAGACCAGTTGTCACTTTTCCTCCTCACTCCGTGGCATATATCACCCCAGCTGGAGAAACAGATGGGACAGAGGCAGGTGCGGCCCTAACTGGCTGTGACTTTGGGGGAGTCACACCCTGTATCTAAGTGGCCTCAGTAGCTGCTGCTTTTGGAAGAGGTACCTGGCATGGAGGTCCACTCTGCATCCTCATGAGCGGTGCCAAGCTGGGGATAGGGACATTGGGATTTTCAGGCAAAAGAAGAGGCATTTGGGACCCAGAGAGGGGTATGTACAGTGTGAGTTCTCTGTAGAGACCCCACTGATGGCATCCCTCCCTCTCGTCCTTCTGGCACTAAGCTTTCATTAGGGAACATTTCCCAAAATCCAAAAAACACATGAGCAGTGTTCAGTGAACCACACATCCCGCCCAGCACTAATCATCACACGTTGTGGCCAGTCTTGTTTTATCCATGGCTCGTCTTGTTTTATCTGTGGCTCTTTGGCCCCAGATTATTTTCAAGCAGACTCCAGACTTCACAGTATGATAGCTGTAAAAATTTCAGTATGGATCTCTAGAGAAAGATTCTCTAATTAAACTCATAATCCTGGGCTGGGGATTTAGCTCAGCAGCACAGCACCTGCCTGGCAAGCTCAAGGTCGTGAGTTCAATTCCTGGTACCAGGAAAAATAAAAAATAAAAATAAATAAATAAACTCATAATCCTGTGATTGCACTGTGAATGCGTAACCTGTCCTCTGCTGGTGGCTTAGGCTTAGCCCAGTGGTCTCAGCCTGGGTTGTAGCTCTCGTGCAGTCCACGTGTGAGACGCCTGCCTTCCCTCCTGGTCTCCTTAGCAGGTCCCATCCTTCTCTCTGCATGGTTTTGCTCAGCTGCTGAAATTCTGCCACAGGTACAAACCGGGCACTTCTATGCAAGTCTACAGTGGATGGGCTGCAGGTCACCCAGCTGAACATGGACCACACAACTGAGAATGAGGATGAGCTCTTCCGCCTGTCGCAGCTGGGTGAGCACAGGGAGTCGGGCCAAGGGGTCAGTGGCAGTGGGCATCCAGTCTCCTGTGCTCACCCCGTGCCCTCCTTTGGTGGCCAGGACAGAGAGGCGTGTAGTGGAGGGGCCGTGAGCTTGGGTCTGGAGACAGCCACTTACTAGTGGGTGACTTTGGAACTTACTGTGTGCCTTAGTTTCCACGTGTGTAACAAAGATAATAGTAACTCCTACTCAGGATGTTGTGAGGATTAAAAGAGTTAATAAATGTCCATTGCTTCCTGGAGTGCCCAGTACATGGTAGGTACTCACTGTTACTGATGGGGACTAAGAGCGGCCAGAGATTCCAGCTCCACCACAGCCATAGTCTACCTTCCCGGATGTGGAAGCAATTGTGGGGCAGACACGTGCAGAGGCAGTGACTGTGCTGCTCTGTGCTGGGAGAGCAGGCCGTGAGAGGGGTGCTGGAGTGCAGGGGCAAGGGCCCTAAGGGGGTTTCTGAGGGGTATAGAGACCAAAAATGCCGGGAGATGTGGGGTTAGCTGCTGCCTGGCACCCTGCTCTTGTCTCTATATCCTGTCACGGGCTGGGCTGTTGCACTCTTCTCCCTCTGGCAGGTTTGGATGCAGGAAAAATCAAGCAAGTGGGGATCATCTGTGGGCAGGAGAGCACTAGGCGGATTGGGGACTACAAGGTCAAATACGGCTACACCGACATTGACCTGCTCAGGTAGGTGGCCAGCGAAGCTGCTGCAGGGGGCGAGGGGCAGGAGCAGATTTCAGGCTCTGGGACACAGCACAGTTGAAGCAGTTCAGAGACCAGGTAGTTCAGAGCTTACTTCCTCTCAGAGAGGTGGGTGAGGCGGGGCCGGGGCCAGTAGGCAGGAGTTGGGGACGTTGGAGCTAGGCTGACACATGAGGTGCCCAGCGTGGACAAGGCACTTGACCTTCACCATCCTTACCCTATAACCTCCGCTAGCTCCACCCTCAGCTTCATTTTAACAGCTGCCCTCAGAAGACAGGGCTGTCTGATTTTCTCTTTCCTTTTTCTTTTCCTCTTACCAAGTTATGTGTTTTACTCTACGCTGTGGGTGTAGAACCTTCCCCTGAGGAGAATGAGTGTCCGCCTGAGGGCCTTTCCACACAAAGCCCTCCTTCCACTCTTTCCAGTGCTGCCAAGTCCAAACCAATTATTGCGGAGCCGGAAATCCATGGTGCTCAGCCTCTGGACGGGGTGACTGGCTTCCTGGTGCTGATGTCCGAGGGGCTGTACAAGGCCCTGGAGGCCGCCCATGGGCCAGGGCAGGCCAACCAGGTGAGCTGGGCTAGGCAGAGCAGGTGACTGTGGCACATGCTGGCTCCAGGGTGAGATGCGCCCTGGCGACCTGGAGTTCTGATTCTCATGTGCTTCACCAGATATCTTCTCTGGGTTCAGAGCTGGGGCAGTGGGAAGGCCGCGCTCCAAAACACCCATCCCAAAAGCAGTGCAGCAGTGTGGGTGCCATGGACATGCAGCGCAGCATTGCTGTGGGCCCAGGCAGGAGGTCTGGGCTGAGGCAGAGCCCAGAAAGGCTGTGATCTGCTTCATGGAGTTCTGCCAGGGGACAGTCTTGGGCCCAGCTTTCCACCAATGCTCTCAGGGCCTTCACATTCCTGTTCTGACCCTCTCCCCTCTAGCAAAGAGAGTGTCACCTCCCCTTGAGGGACTGGCATTAGGTGTGCCACATCCAGGTCCTCAGCCAGTAGGGGCAGCTTATCTCTCCCACATGGCAGATGTCACCCAGCGTGACTCTAAGGCAGTCACTTAGGATTTGAAGGGGAAGCTGCCTCCACCTGACCTTGGGTTGCTGGGTGGCTAAGATATGCCTCGTCTGTGCTCAGGGTTTTCACACTTTATGTCCTGTTACGCATCGCAGCCACCTTACAGTGTGGAGGGGCAGAGCTGCCTGCCACGTGGAGCAGGACGTGGGGCCCCCTCACCCTCGCAGCTTAGAGGGGCAGCGCTTGCTTCCACATGGAGTAAGGACATGGGCACCAGAGCTCAGGGCCTTTGCTGAGGTGTTGTGGTTGGTTAGTGATGGAGCTGAGCCCACAGGACCAAGAACAGATCCTTTCTCCTGCCTGCCCTGCCTTTGTGCCTCCAAGAGCCTTCGGTTAGCCTTCACATAAGGGACATTGTTTGTGCTGCTGATCCTTTAATCGGTGTGGTTTTCTTTACTTCCTCTTTGGTCTTCACAATGGAATTATCCAGTGGCTTCTAGTAGGTTCTAAAATATACTGGCCAGGTGACTTCTCTGAGGGTGGGGATGCTGCCTTCATTCTCTCTACCCACCTCCTGACAAAATTCCTGGCATATGGGAACCTACAGTAAGTTTGTTTCCGGAAAAAACACTTATTAACAACTATTTATACTGGGTTCTTAGTCCGGCCATGTGTTACACAATCCTTGTACTAATCCAGTGAGCTGGGTATTGTCCATTCAGAGGTGTATGAGCCAGTGATCAGGTGCGGCACAAGGACACACACCTTTCCTAGTGAGAAGGTTCCAGAAAGATTATCCTGAATACCTTGAAAAGTTTAGATTACAACTTGCCTAGCAGGAACTTGCTATACCTGCCGGGCCAATGACCCCTAAGTTCCCATCAGGGCTCTGGAATTATGGCCCTGTCCCTGAGTACCCCTCATTCCTCACCAGGTTCTCACTCCTTCCACCAGGAGATCGCCGCAATGATTGACACTGAGTTTGCCAAGCAGACCTCCATGGATGCAGTGGCCCAGGCCGTGGTGGACCGGGTGAAGCGCATCCATAGTGACACCTTTGCCAGTGGTGGGGAGCGTGCCAAGTTCTGTGTACGGCATGAGGACATGACCCTGCTGGTGCGGAACTTCGGCTACCCACTGGGTGAAATGAGCCAGTCCACGTCAAGTCCGGCCCCAGGTACAAGCGCCCTGCAAAGGCAGCGCCCAAGAGCGAGTGTGGGGTCACCGTGTCTTCCCTGCCTGGAGGAGGCCTGGCTTCGAGTTGCTTTCACTTGGGCTCTGACTTCCAGCCTTCCTGTACTGCATGCTTTTATTCCTTTTGTCTGAAATACAAGGATAGTACCTCTTGCCCTGGACTATCCCCCTGATCCACAGACAAACAGTGTGTAGCCACAGGGCCTGACAGAGATGTGGAGGCTGGTGGCTGATTGCCTGCTGCCCAGGCGTGGCCTCAGATACGTCCTTGAGTCCCCATTAGCAACCCTGAGGACCGGAAGAGGAAACCACCAGCGTGAAGGGGCCTGGGTGAGGTTTGCAGCATGGACAGATGGTCAGGCCCTCATACCTGCCCATTGTGGCCAGGGAAGATGTGTTTTACTTTCTTTTTGTTTTCCTTTCTTTACCTCCAGTATTGAGGGTTGAACCCAGACCCTTTATACTGAGCTACCTTCACAGCCCATTTGTATTTTGAGACTAGAGCTCACTAAGTCCTAAGTTGCCCAGAGTGGGCTCGAATTTGCAGTCCTCCTGCCTCAGCCTCCCAGAGTGTAGAGAGATGTACCACCACACCAGGCTTTCTTTTTCATTCTGAAATCAAGTGGCCCGAGAGCAGTGCCGATGGAGAGCAGTGCCAATCGGCGATCCATTCTTCTCAGTGCTCCCCTACATGGCTAAATGCTAAAACTCTCAGTTCCTGAGAGCTGCATTTCCTTTTCTTCTTTAAACAAGCAAACCTCGGGGTTGAGCGTCACAGATGGGCGTGTTCTCCCGTGAACACCAGAGTTTCTCTGGTTTGTTGTTATTGCAACCATATTTTTATTGGGTCAGCCTTAGCAAGGGGAAGGGTGACTTCCGGATGAAAGTGGCCGTGGGGAGCCAAGCCAAAACACTTTCATCGAAGCAGTGCCAGCCCTTGGATTCTGTTCTTTTCTGGAGCACCAGTGGGCTTCCCTACTGAGAAGTGGTCCCAGCAGTCTTCAAGAGTCTGGCCAGGGACAGTGCGGGGCTGCCCCCTGGACCGGGACCACACAGCTTGGGGAGCATCTCAGACACCCTGTCAGGCCCTGGCGCAGTCCTGCCCCCTTGGCCCCTTTCCCTCCCCACCCCCACCCCATGCCTACTGCCTTCTTCCCCTCACAGCTGCAGGGGGCCGTGTGTACCCCGTGTCCGTGCCCTACTCAGGCGCCCAGAGTACCAGCAAGACCAGTGTGACCCTCTCCCTCGTCATGCCCTCCCAGGGCCAGATGGTCAATGGCGCCCACAGTGCTTCCACCCTGGACGAAGCCACCCCCACCCTCACCAAGTGAGTCTTTCTGTGCTGGGGGGTTGGTGATGTTGGGTGGGAGGCCCTTGGGTCTCAGGCCTCCCAGACTCCCCTCCTGGCCCCTGGCTGAAGCCACCGTCCTTAGAAATGGCCAGGAAGGAGTTGGTCCGGCAACTCATTGCAGCTGGATCTGGAATGGGGTGGAGGTTTTGGGGGCACAGTGTTTGGGAGACAGGGCATCCTAGCTTTCATCCAGTGGGAAGGTCCTCTTGTTCTTTCTCTTTATTCCCTGTCTCACCCTCAGGGTGATGAAGGGTGGCTCTCCCCAAGGCATCTGTGCTTGGGGACATCCCCTGGCCCGTACTGGCTCACGAGAGCCCCTGCTCTCCAGCTGCAGTGTCCATTTCAGCTCCGAAGCCGTCTTTCTAGTTGAGGGCAGGCGAGAATCTGGTCACACAGTGGGTGGGTCAGGTGACCCCCACACACACTTGTGTGGAATGCATGCCCTGCCCCCACCCCACCAAAGCCCAAGATCTGGTTTCCACATTCCAGCCTGGTGCAGAATAATAGAGATGCCACACCCAGCCCATCTGAGGGCAGTGAGCAGGATGTGGCCAATTAGGAGGGCTGGTAGGGAGGGAGCAGCCAGGGGCCTTCCTTCCCCTGCCGCCACCACAGTGAGTGGAAGGGGCTGCCCGGCTGCTGAGGGCCACGGTACCTCAAGCATGGTCCTTGTGCACAGGCAGGGTAGCCTCCCCACCCCTGCTGTCTGCCCCAGCTGTGTCCACAAAGCAGAATGTGACCTGTGTAGTCCAGGGTGAGGCAGGACAGCCAGCATCCTTTGCCGGACTCTGGGCTGCACTGTGGGCCCCTCCCCCACCGCAGGCATTGCTCTGCTGGTGCTCGAGTGGGCAGGGCAGGGGCTGAGAAGCTGTGACACAGGGTGGGTGTCCAGGGGTCCCTGGGAACACAGTACCTGTGTCCCCCACTGGCCAGTGAGGGGAATGAGGGGGCGGGGAAAGGGAGGTTTTCTGGAGGAAGCGACCTTCCCGCCTGTGACCAGCGGCTGGCTTATGGGGAGCCTGGTGCTCTGTAGCTGCGTGCTGTCCCCAGGACTTTCTGAAGGGCGGGTATCCTGAGTCTGTCTTGTTCCATGAGGCAGTCACTCACCGTGGATAGCTGTTCAGCACTAGAACCGAGTGTTCTGCTTCATGTTTGGCGCTTTAAACTGCCATGTGTAGCTAGTGCTTAAGTACTTTAGACATTTCATTCATTCCTGAGGACATCTGGCCTGGTGGGCATGAGGCCACCTTTACCGGAGGGACCTGTGACCCAAGGGCCTGGTGGAGGCAGGGGCTGCTGTGTCCCCTGACTGGAAGCCGAGGCCCTTGGATCCACTGTCCTGACCCCTCTCCTCTGCCCACAGCCAGAGCCCCACGCTGACCCTGCAGTCCACCAACACGCACACCCAGAGCAGCAGCTCCAGCTCCGATGGGGGCCTCTTCCGCGCCCGGCCAGCGCACTCACTCCCACCTGGTGAGGATGGCCGCGTCGAGCCCTACGTGGACTTCGCGGAGTTCTACCGCCTCTGGAGCGTGGACCACGGCGAGCAGAGTGTGATGACTGCGCCATAGCTGCGAGGAGGGAGTGCGGTGCGAGCAGGACCTCGTACAGGCCAGGCCCTGCACAGGCTCTGCCTGTGCCATGGAACCAGTGGGCCTACTTGTCCGTGCCTGGGCATGGCACAGGACAGGAGGCCCCTGTGGGCAGCCTGAAGTGGGACTCTGTCATTCCTCAGAACAAGGGCCCACACTTGGAAGCCGGGCTGGCCTGCCAGCCACCACGCGTTCCTTCGTCACATGCAGCAGAGTGGACGGGCCATTCTGGGGACCCAAGTGGCACAGGCCCAACAGGCACTGCTCTCTCAAGGCCGCCCCCTCTCCGGAAATGGCCTGTGGCTGCTGCCTTACCTCTGGATGGCAGTTTCCCTTCCAGCCTCTCTGCCCCAGGATCCTGGCATCACAGGAGAACCCAGGTGGGACCTTTCCCAGTCCCTGGTTCAGTCACGATGTCCAGGAGGCCGGGGAACAGGTGGGTCCCTGAGATGGCCACAGGGTAGCAGGTCAGGTAGAAAGGACAAGACAGAACGACCTGAGAAGCACGCGTGACTGGTGTGCCACAGGCTGCTTGGGCCGGGGAGTGGGAGGCACAGGCCTGCTGGTGCCAGGAAGCCACCATGGGAGCGTCACAGTGTACACTTTGCACCCGGTGTGGGCCTGTCCCGGCTCCGGGTGGCAGCGCTGGTGAGTTAGGGTGCTCAGCTGCAAAAGCGTAGGGGTTCCTGGAGCACAGCTGCCCTGGAAGGCTGTGGACTTTCGGCATACACATCACGTTTACAAGCACAGAGGTGAGGATTGGGCTGGCCTGCCCTGAGTGGACCATGTCTCACATCCTCTGCCTTCAGTGGGGGGGGCGCCGTCAGGGCCGCTGACAGTTTTGCTGCTCCCATTTTCAGAGAAGGAAGCAAGCCCAGGAAACTTGCTCCTTGCCCACGTCTTGCCGTGTTAGCAAGATGCTCAAGATGGAGCTCAGCCTGTTGCCTTCTCATCAGTACTGGTGCCCGCTAGATTCTGGCACTCCCACCCTAGCCACCCTGACCCAGTGTGCCCACCTACAGTGCACTGGGGCTCTCTGCAGCGTCAAAGGCTCCGCTCACCCGAGTCCCAGAGTCCACTGCCCTGCTGTGGAGCCGGGCCTGGTGTGGTGAAGTCAGCACGAGCGATGAGAAGGCAGATGCTGCCAGCGGCCCCATTGCCCTCCACTGTGAAGCCACCTTGTCCTGCCGCAGAGGCTCGGGAGTGGGGCTCTGTCCCAGGAATGGCTCTGATGCTGTTTGGCCTCTACAATAGAATCATGTTTTTCATGCAGTCAAGTCACACGTGGTGGTGGTACGCGTCGAAACAACGGTGCTGTGGTGTCTGTCTCGTGTGACTGTGTGTCCCGGGAGGGGCCGCCTCCTGCTCGGCTCGGAAGGGTGAACAAGGCCACTGGGCTGCTACGTGGCGCTTGGCAGTGTCCCTGCTGCCACTTTAGCACCCAAGGAGCAGTACGGAGCCCTGCACCCTCTGCATCCTGCCTGTAGCCCACATGGTCACAGGGGCACCAGGTCCATTGCCCACGGACAGCAGCGTGCTGTTACGCTGCCCCGGGCTTCCTGAGCAGGTGGGTGGTGCCATGACTGCTTGGGGCCCAGGTCCCTGGGCAGGGGCCGTGTCCTCTCCCCTGCCTGGCCTGCCTTATTTGGCTGGGTATGAGTGAAGGATGTTCTATGAATAGTAGGCCGTGGCACTGCTCTTCCTGGTGCTTACCCTGCTAAGAGCATTGCATCAGACCAGAGCGCCATATGTCTGGTATGGTCAGAGGGTCCCTGACACCCCCTCCCTTACGCTGGGTGGAGGCTTTCAGCACAGGGCTCCGCCTGCTGCGCTGCCTTTCGGGATCTGTCCCCCTCTTCATTCCCCAGCCATGCCCTGAAGTGTGCTGATGTCCACCACTGCCCCTCAACACTCCTGGAGCTGTGGTGATACCCAGCCACCCCACAAGGGCACAGAGCGTTCTGTGAGGTATCACGGGCACAGACAGGTTCAGGCATGGTCCTAGCCACCATCCAACCCCTAGGCCCTTGGCTTCTCCCAGTATCTGCTCTGCCCTAGCTATTGGGGGCACCTGGCCTGTTGGCTTTATGTCGCCTCTCCTTGGCCTTGGTATCACCTAGCCCTGTGCGCCTGTTCTGGAAGCAAATGGAAGGTCACCATTTTGGCTTCTGAGTTCCTTTTGGTGGAGGAGAGATAGGAACCAAGGCCAGACATGGAAGGTGACAAGACAGCCAGGCAAACTGCCATGGCCAGGTCATTGCCCCTGAACCCCAGGTGTCACACGCTGGGCAGACAGCTGACATTGACCATGCTCGCTTCCCAGCCGTTGGCCTCTGCCTGGGTGGGACAAGTGCTCTGTGACTGGGGTTGGATCAGACAACCAGAGAAGCCCACCTGGCCCCTGCCTTTCTCGTCTCCTGAAGATACCCCTTACCCTCTCAGAACCCAGTGCCAGGCTTGCCTGGGGCTAGGACAGAGCCAGGCCTCAGAGCCGCTGTATGTGCTGGGAGGGCCAGGGGCAGCCAGAGGACTCCACAGCACCCTTGGGCCATCACAGGCTTTACTCGGCCTCCAGGCCTGGTCTGCTCTGGCTCCCTGGTGAGCCTGCCCTTCACCAGGCCGTAGAGCAGCACGTGTTGATGGGACACAGCCAGTCCCTGGTGGCAGTGCTGGCAGACCCTTCTCGAGGGCCCTGGCAACCTGACATCAAAGCACCAATGATGCTCTTCAAGCGCTGGTTTCTTGTTGCTTGGGTCTCAGCATAGATGCCACCACCTCAGGGAGCCTGCTCACCTCCTGCAGGGACTTCTGTGTCCCTCCACAGGTCCAGCCCCAAGGTCAGTGCTGGGCTTGCAAGTGCCCCCCACATGCGTGGTAAGTGAATGCAGGAAGGACCTGTCGTGGGACCTTGGGCAGTGCACTTGGGCTGAGCCTTCGTTTTTTTCATCTGCAAAATGAGGATATGACTCGCTTCTTAGTGAAACTGTCCCACTGTCCTGCGCAGTCCTGTCATCAGAGGTGTGAGAGGTCAGATCCTGCCACGTGGGGCTTGGGACTGGGACGAGTTATAGGAGGTAGGGTTCCGTGTGCAGCAGGTGCCGGGCCAGTGCCACCTGCAGCTTTCTCCAGAAACCCAGACGAGGCACTGGGTGTGGTTCTCGCCTCTTCCCAGCCAAAGCCCAGATGGAGGCCTCTGGCCAGGCTCCCAAACACTTCCTCCGTCAAGCGCATTTCCATGACTCTTGCTTCTGGGCCCCCTATTTTGAAGCGAAGAACATAGATCACTGCAGATACGGTGAGCTCATCCCACACAAAGGTGACAGTAGCTCAGAACAGAGAGGTACTTGACCTTTCCACGAGCCTGGGTGGCCTGGTGGAAGACACGCTGGCGGTCAGCACAGAACTCTTGCTGCCGGTTTGTGGGCTGTGGCCCTTCCTGCAGACCCCCAGAGGACCCCAGACTGCAGGCCGGCTGTCCAGTCCAGCCCTCTCGTACCCTGTTCCCCGGTCCCAGAAGGGCCTCAACACCCTGTGATGAGGCCCCTAGACTGTCACTTTAGCAGTCATCGTGTAGTCCAGATGGGGTGAGCTCAAGAGCCTTCTGCGGCTCCATCCTCCTCCCTCCCGGCCCGAGCTGTGTGCAGAGCACTTGCCAGCGCCCTGGCCTGGGCCGTCGCACTCATCCATAGCACAGTGCCAGCCCTGGGCTGTGTTTAAGAAATGTCAGGTGAATGGCGCAAATGAAGGCAGGAATTATCCAGGGCAGAACCTGCCCCACCCCAGCCACGCAGAGTTTGGGGGTTGGTAAGAAATGAAATGCTTCAGCAATTTAGAGTCAAATCCATACACCAGTGTTTTTGTCTTCTGGTACTGGGTACTGGAGCTGAGCTACCCAGACCTTTTTTTACTTTCATTTTTTTGAGACAGAGTCTCACTAAGTTGCTCAGGCTGGCCTCCAACTTTGAATCCTCCTGCCTCAGCCTCCTGTGTGGCTGGGGTTACAGGCATGTACAACTGTACCCTTCCCTGTGTTCATTTTCATACAAAAATAGCATTACTTTTTTCAAAACTAACATTTTATTATGATTTTATTATCAAGTAAACATGCGTCACATGAATCCTAGAGGTTTGTCGGATTCCACAGGCCTGGGAACCCAGGGGGTGCAGGCTGAGGGAGTGGCCCTGTGACATTCATTGCTGATGCCAGATGTCCCCTGGGAGCTTGCAGGGCCTGACTCAGATCAAGGAGCCAGCTGGGGAAGTGACCTGGGGACAGGCTGCCCCCTGTCCGGAAGGACTGTTCCAGCATGTGGACTTGGGAAGGGGCTGTGGGTGAGAGGTCACTGGTGTGAGCAGCTGGCGTCAGATGGGGTGTCACGTTGCCAGCCCCAGCCTGGCTGCACAGCCTGGTCCTTTAGCAACAAAGAGGGGGCAGCTGTTGAAAACACTGGATCCAGCCTCCAGAGGGAAGTGAGTCGACTCCAGCAAGACCCATGTGGCTCCTGCCTCCTGCTGCTCTGCCACAGCGCGTTCCTGACTTGGTGCCACCGCAAGGTCTAACTCCGGGTGACCTTAGATGAGGCCCATACACCCCTCTGACCTCACCTCATCTCCAAAAGGTCTACAACTCAGCTTTATATTAAAAACAAAAACAAACCCGCCCGTAATCCAGCACTCAGGAGGCTGAGGCAAGAAGACTGTTTTGAGTTGGAGGGCAGCCTGGGCAACATACCAAGACCCTGTCACAAAAATAGTTTCCTCTGGATTTTCCAGCACCTTCCAGGCCTGAGAGGTGGATCTGACACAGTCCCTCAGTAGAACCTACTGCAGCATCCCTGCTCTCCCCAGCGCAGGAAGAATGCTCTCACACCAAGTCCCTCTGCTGGCTGAAGCCGTCCTGGGGTTTCATCCCCTAACCTGACTCACCCACTGGGATGGGGGGCCAGAAGGGCCCTGTCCTGGAGGAGCTGGCGACAGTGGCGCCCCAGCCAAGGTGTGGGGGGGTGCTCCTAGAGGTTCCTGGAGGAAAAACAGGAGTGAGCCAGATAAAGGAGAGGTGACAAGCGCAGACCCAGTGGGAGGTGGGACTCAGGTGACAGGGAGTGAGGCTGGGGAGGCCTGGGGGAGCCAGTGCAATTGTTAGCAGGGGGCAAGGGGCCGGGCAGGTGGGACGGGGTGCTGTTGCCCTGTCAAGAGGTCCCAACCGCTCAGACTGAGCCCTGGAAGTGACAGGCACACGGCAGCTTCCAGGAATACCGGCATCTACAGGTGCTGGGCAGGCTCATTTTCTGGTGGAGCAGTGTCCCCCTGGGTCCTTGTGCCCCACCTGAGCCAGCCAGCACCTCCCGCTTCTGGGCCTGGGCTGGGCGGGACCCTTCGTGCACCTGGGTCTTTGCAGATGCTTTCCTGGCTGACACCTGCAGGGCCCAGCTCAGTGCCACCTCCCTCTCCAAGGACCCTGTACCCCCAGAGCCCAGGCATCCCTCCCTGGTTCCTGCCCCGTGGTCTGCAGGGAACTGAGGCCTCTGCTGAAATTCACACGTGAAGAAGACCAAGCATCAAGCACCAAACGAGTTCCAGGGGCAGAATTTTTGCATCAAAATCAAATGCCAAATTCCAGGAGTTTCAGAGCAGTTGAGTACCAAGATATGACAGTCTGGTTGTCTGTAGGTCCTGGGGCCCTGCAAGGGCAGGGTTTGTGGCTCCGAGCGGAGCTGTCCCCTGACGGATGGTCTGCAGCTCCCTTCGCAGCCGCTGAGAGCTCCAGACATGGGTGGCCCTGACCTGAGGCACAGTGCACTGTGACTTTTGAGGGTCTTGTCTTCTACCAAAAAAATATTTAAGACTGTGCTTTCAGTGTTGGTGTAAAGATTAATGTACTAAAAATATTTAAGACTGTGCTTTCAGTGTTGGTGTAAAGATTAATGTACTAATGTACTAAAATTCTTCTTCAAAAGTTCTTTTTCAGCCAGAGATATAGCTCAGTGGCACAGTAACTGCCCAGCCAGCATGAAATCCTAAGTTTAATTCTGGGTACCAAAATAACAAACAAATGGCCATTCTCCCAGTCTTTAAGAACACGTTTGGGGCCAGGTGTGGTGGCGCACGCCTATAATCCCAGTACTTGGGAGGCTGAGGCAGGAGGATTGCTGCAAGTTTGAAGCCAGCCTGGGCTACAAAGTGAGCTCAAGGCCAGCCTGAACTGCATAGCAAGACCCTGTCTCAAAAAGATTAAAAAAAAAAAAAAAACAACAGGCATGGTGGCACATGTCTATAA